TTGCAAAAATTGCAAAAATGCCTGAAAATTGCAAAAATCGCAAAAATGCCTGAGAATTGCAAAAATCGCAAAAATTCCTGAAAATTGCAAAAATCCCAAAATTTCCTGAAAATTGCAAAAATCGCAAAAATGCCTGAAAATTGCAATAATCGCAAAAATTCCTGAAAATTGCAAAAATCGCAAAAAATTCCTGAAAATTGCAAAAATCGCAAAAATGCCTGAAAATTGCAAAAATCGCAAAAATTCCTGAAGATTGCAAAAATCGCAAAAATTCCTGAAAATTGCAAAAATCGCAAAAATTCCTGAAAATTGCAAAAATCGCAAAAATTGCTGGAAATTGCAAAAATCGCAAAAAATGTCTGAAAATTGCAAAAATCGCAAAAATTCCTGAAATTGCAAAATCGCAAAAATTCCTGAAATTGCAAATTTCGCAAAAATTCCTGGAAATTGCAAAAATCGCGAAAACGCCTGAAAATTGCAAAAATTCCTGAAAAATTGCAACAATCGCAAAAATTCCTGAAAATTGCAAAAATCGCAAAAATTCCTGAAAATTGCAAAAAAACGCAAAAATGCCTGAAAATTGCAAAAATCGCAAAAATTCCTGAAAATATTAAAAATCGCAAAAATGCCTGAAAATTGCAAAAATCGCAAAAATGCATGAAAATTGCCAAAATCGCAATAATTCCTGGAAAATTGCAAAAATCGCAAAAATTCCTGAAAATTGCAAAAATCGCAAAAATTACTGAAAATTGCAAAAATCGCAAAAATGCCTGAAAATTGCAAAAATTCCTGAAAATTGCAAAAATCGCAAAAGTTCCTGAAAATTACAAAATCGCAAAAATGCCTGAAAATTGCAAAAATCGCAAAAATTCCTGAAAATTGCGAAAATCGCAAAATTTCCTGAAAATTTCAAAAATCGCAAAAAATTCCTGAAAATTGCAAAAATCGCAAAAATTCCTGAAAATTGCAAAAACCGCAAAAATTCCTGAAAATTTCAAAAATGCCTGAAATTTGCAAAAATTTCTGAAAATTGCAAAAATCGCAAAAATGCCTGAAAATTGCAAAAATCGCAAAAATTCCTGAAAATTTCAAAAATCGCAAAAATGCCTGAAAATTGCAAAAATGCCTAAAAATCGCAAAAATTGCTGAAAATTGCAAGAATCGCAAAAATTCCTGAAAATTGCAAAAATCGCAAAAATTCCTGAAAATTGCAAAAATCGCAAAAATGCCTGAAAATAGCAAAAATCGCAAAAATTCCTAAAAATTGCAAAAATCGCAAAAACGCATGAAAATTGCAAAAATCGCAATAATTCCTGAAAATTGCAAAAATCGCAAAAATTGCCTTGATAAACAAGCCCGTCAATCTGAATTCAAAAATATATATTATTCATCGAGTTATTGATATATTATTATCGAATAAAATTTAGATAATTCTCTTAGCCACCCTGTATAGTTTGTTTATAAAAAGAAAAAGTGAGCACAGATTAAAAAAAATCGTGAAAAATTATTCCAGCAACGTTTTTGAATGGCCAAAATATATTAAGAATTACGAGGATATAATAGGGGATGACACATTTAAGTGGGACACCCTGTACCTATGTACTATACCTACCCAGTATAGGTATATCTGGAAAACAGTACATATTCTGTATACAACCATTTTTCGATTTGATAATAACCAGTTTTATGCGAGTATGAGATTTTATTCCAATTCTCCATGCAATGGGAGAGATTCCTGCAAGGCCTTAATTTTTGAATTCGACTTGAGGTCAGGAAATATTGTAATATTCCTAATGAAAAAAGAGATTGCTTGCGAGTGCGAGCCTAAACCTACCTATTTTAAAGGACGAAATATCTAAATATCATGCATGCAACATTAAACGAGATTCACTTACCTCTGTTTCCAACAAAACAAGCCGATGCATCAGCAATTTCTCCACTTCCCAGCCCATCAATGAAGGTTTTCCTAAAATTCCACGGGATTTTCACTGTCTATTTCACTAATAAGAACACACTACAATAATATTACAAATACTACAAAATCCAAATAAGAGGAGAGAAAGAGAAAATGGCGCGATAGTTTTGTTTTCACCAGACAGTCAAGAATGTCAGATGTCAATTGTCAAATTTCTTTGTAACCAGTGGCGTCGCGTAAGGGTTCTCGGATAGGTACAAAAGAATCAATATAAAGCTGTATAATACATATTGATTATAAATGTTTTTGAATTAATTCAGGAACTCTACCACGAGCAATGCGACTTCGTGTGCATAATGTTTGCCTCGATTCCGAACTTTTCCGAATTCTACGTCAAATTGGAGGCCAACAACGAAGGAGTCGAATGCCTGCGATTGCTCAACGAAATCATAGCAGACTTTGATGAACTCCTCTCGGAAGATGAGTTCAGGTAGAGTTCAGGTACATCGAAAAGATCAAGTCGACCGGCGCCACATATAGCCAAATACCAAATATTATGAAGGCATAACGAACAAAGTTGATTTTCTGGTCAGATGTCAGAATGAGCTGAAAATTGGCATACAGGGTATTGTAGATTTGCTGATCAAGAATCTGAAATTAGTTTTTCGTTATCTCTTGTGGTTTTCTACAGATATAAGCATTCGAAACTTGAAATTGCTGTGGAAATATTCTAGAAATGGTGGCAATCAGTTCCATTTGGGGTGCAAAAAATTCGTCCCTGGTTTACCAAATTCGTAAACCCTACGACAAAGTTGATTTTTGGGTTTGAAAAGGTCACGTATTAAAAACACAGTATTTTATTTTCAATGCTTTTTATTATAGAAAACATGATGAATGCCTTTGCATCAATGACAAAAAATCTACAATGATGTATATATTATATTCTGAATCATTCTGAAACTTCCTCCATAGAATATTGGATAAAATAACAATAAAAGTGATAATATAATAAGACTATCGAGATATCAATAACAAATGACATAATTAAACAATATCACGTCATATATTATGTATATAATAATAAGATCGCTGCCTTGACAAAGTTTGATTCGTGATTTGTAGTAAGATGACAATGATCAGCAGTTTGATTGAAGTACCTATCAAATATCGAAAATTCTCTGACAAAATTATTATGAAAAATTAAATGTATTGAACGAAAATTCGAGCAGATATGACCAAACGAAATTATATACAAGTTGACTCGAATTTCGGAGACGCGAATTTGTATGAGTTTTTTTCAAATAAGTCTTTACTCATATTTATATGAGCATCTACAATTTTTTTCTCTTCGTTTATTGAAAGAAACTACGGAGATATTTTTGATACTGATGATATAAAATTGAATTGAGAAACTATGTGAACACAATTTCAACCACATATAGAATATTTCAATTTCGAATAATTGATCCACAAAACCACCTGAATAAATGAACTTTAATGTTTTGTTTTGATCAAAAAAATGTTTATGAATTCATTTATCTATAAAAAAATAAATTTGTTTTCATTTTCCTACCTCACTCTCTTTGTTTCCCCGTATATATTGTGCAATTTGTATATTTTTTTCAAACAAAAGTACTCGTAAAGCTCTCTCTGATAGCAGTAAAAATCGAGAAAACGTATCAGGAGTTTGTATGAAAGTTATTGGACAGAATAAAAGCTGTTTGAGTAGTTCAGTAGGAATTTCGGTGGGCATGTCGACCCCCCACTCCTTTCAATTCGAACTTCACAATCCAGATTCAAAACAGTGATATCACAGTCGAAAAAGTAGAAGTTGCGGTAGGTCGGCCAAACCCCACTCCTTCCGCTCCGAGTTTCGCAATCCAGATTCCAAACAGTGATATAACAGTTAAAAAAGTAGAAGTTGCGGTAGGTCGGCCAAACCCCACTCCTTCCGCTCCGAGTTTCGCAATCCAGATTCCAAACAGTGATATAACAGTTAAAAAAGTAGAAGTTGCGGTAGGTCGGCCAACCCCCACACTTTCCATTTCGAGTTTCGCAATCCAGATTCCAAACAGTGATATCACAGTTAAAAGAGTAGGAGTTGCGGTAGGTCGGTTAACCCCCACTCCTTCCGTTTCAAGCTCCGCAATCCAAATTCCAATGGATGCGATGGAGTGGAGTTTGGGATAACCATCACCATTCCTACTTTCTTACCTGCAGGTAACTGTGATTTTCTTCGTTATTTTGAACGAATTCTCTTGTCAGATACTCAATGTGATCCTGGATTGATGTTTTGATTGAAACAAATGAATATATTTAGTGTGTAACTCAGGAATAAAATGGTTCTTCCATCCTCAAAATATTGTCAAAAAATGCCTCTGGTATGTTTCCTCAATTTCTGTCGTATTCTTTGTGATCTTCGAATATCGGAGAATATTCTTCTACAAATTAACGAATATACAGTGGTGAGATGGGGAGAATGAGATATGGAAATGGAAAAACTTCGATCTCTCAAATTTTCCTGCTTAATCAAGAGGATCTTTGGTGACGAATCCAAAGGTGGTAAAAGATCCCGGAGGATGGTAGATACCGTCATCGATAATGGTGGTGGGGCTACAAGCTCTTTTCTTCTCTTTTTTTACCGGTTTATTTGAACCTCGACAGCACAAGACGTGTCGAAACTCAGAGGACATTTCAGCGCACAAAGAAGTCTGAAAAAATAATCATATCAGAAACAAATCGATGAACGATGTCGACAAATGACATTCACACCTACATAGGTAATTTGTCAAGTGAGCAACGGAAGTTCATGAGTAGGAAGAAATCAATGTCTGTACCTGGTGTAACTTCATTTGAGGCAGGTGTGAACCTATTTAATTATGGCACACTTGTGGGTTTGAGATCTTGAAACAATTGGTGCACTCGCCTCTTTTACATTTATACAGTTTCCATGAGAATTTATAGACAAAACAACTGAAAGTTATTCCAAACTAATTGTAAAAAAACACTGCTGGAGAGTAGGAACTGAATTTAATGAAACCGCAAATGCTCTTGCTTTTATTAAGAACCGCCGACTTCTCTGTGGTGACATTTGAAACGATTTCGGTATCCAGACACTTAATGTACTGCGATAAAATCTCATGAAACTAAATTAGCGCTATAGCAGTTCTGTTGCTCATCCAGGAACTCCGCATTAATTATTTTCCTCCAGCGTTGGAGAGGAAGAAATAAAAATTAATTACTTCCTCTTCGCTTTGTTTCCAATTCTGAATCTGTCTTCCTGTAAATTTCTATTCCTGTAAATTGGTATGACCACCTTGAGTAATATTTTGCTGGTACTGCTATTCTTTCTCAGTTTGTTAACTGAATGAGATCATTTTTGTGAAGCCAAGTAGGCCATTTTGTCAACTAGAGGTCGATAGGGGTGATCATTTTGTTTTTTCGAACAGCTATTTGGCTGACCAAATGTATGACAATGATTGTCGAACAAAGGTCAAATGTGGCCATTTTATTATCGACCTTGGAGATTCCATTTATTCACTTAAACATATATAACATGACAGTTGTATAAATAAAAAATCAGTACATGAGGTACGGTGACTAGTTTTGTGAATTTCATCAACCAGGAGGCTATTTTGTTGACTTTAGTTTGAACGATCAAGTGAGTCAATATTTTTGACCAGATGTTCAGTAGTGTAATTTTGTTGAGCAAATGTGATCAGTTCATTGTTGGAAAATTGTGGACATTTTATTGTTCGAATATGGCTATACTTTGTTGATCTATTCAGCAAGAGAATATGATCATTTCGATGACTCGATGTGATCATTCTATGGTCATTTATTATTTATTTGTTTGTCTTTTATATTTGACCAAATGTGTCTATTTTACTGTTTACCAAACAGCTATTCCATTAATGACCAAATATGGCCGATTCATTGTTGACAAAATGTGTCCATATCATTGTTTATCAAATATGGCCTACCATATTTCTTATCCAATATGGCAAATTCATTGTTTACCAAATATGGCCTTCTTATTTTTGACCAAATATGACAGAATTCAATGATGACCGAATGTTGCCATAGTTTGTTAACCAAATATGGATATTTTGTTGATCAATTGTGGTCATTTTATTGTTGACCGAATGTGATCATCTTGTGATAATGGAACGTCAGGTACTCACCTCCTGTGTTATTTTATCCGTACGAAAGAGAAAGCACAAAAAATACATAAAGTAAACTTAGATAGTTTTCTATAGTTTTCTAGAGGATAGTAATACATTATATCATTTTTGACACTTAGTTTATAAATGCGCTACTTGAAACCTGAAAAAAAAATCGTGTGGTATGAAATATTTACATGAATTCTGAAAATACTATGTCGGATAGGTAAAAAAAAAGATCGGTTACCCCCTCAGTTTTACTTGTGAAGTAACATATATAGTTCAAGTTGGATTTTTTTCAGGTTTCTATAGAGCATGATTGTGAAAATTGGATTGGTTTTCGATAATATTGTCAATAAATTCGTTTGAAACATTTATAAAATCAGTATAAATCGAATTAGACCGCAAAATTGGGAGTTAGTTTGTATATTTATGTATATATATTGGAATGGTACCTATGTACATGTTTTTTTTTCACAATAAATTATACCTACCTAAGTTGCTATTTCTTATTAGGTCTGAGAAGTTGATTTCATTTAGTTTATATAATACTATATCCAGTCAAATGTTTTTTCATTCGATGTTATCTATTTTCACGGACATTTTATCTTATTTAAAATTTGTTGGTACTGTCTCTATACATATACATATACCTATATCTTAAAGTGTGTTAGAATACACAGTGTTCTCCAAGGAAATTGAGCCTGTATTTTTCAGGTGGAATTTATAAAAAAGCGAAAAAAAGTTATTGAAACATTTTCACACTATTCTCTTCATGACTTCCAAAGAAAATCTTTGCAATTGGTAATTTTCTTCGAAATGTCAAATAACAGGCATTACAATGAAAATTAGGAATGCCAACATAATTATTATCTTTCAGGACTGAGGCTAACTTCGACATTGAATTGAATTTTTCGTACATTTACAATGGATACAAACATATTTTCTCATTGTCTATTTTCTCTTGTGTCATAGTCAGTGTCGTAGTGTCATAGTCAGAGTTATAGTCACTGTCATAGTGTAATGAGTCATATTGTCATGAGTCATAGTGTCAACATCGTATTTCGTTTGATTCAATGAAATTATTAAAGCTGATATGAACGTTAGTGTCAGTGTGATAAGTCACTGTCCTAGTCAGCGTTATAGTAACTGTCATATTATAGTGAATCATTGTCATAGTCGAAGTGTCATGATCAGAGTATTGATGAAATAAACCTCTGGTGTACGCACTTCAATCCTTTCCTGTTTTACAATTCCTTGATTTTCGCCTACTTCGATGAACATAACATGGCGTGGGTGAATGTCGCTAAATTTAGTCTGGTGCCGTACCAAAATTACAGGCATCAATGTTACAATTGTGACCGAATTGTGACCAATGAAGATAGGGAATACATTTTGCGATTTAGCCGCATCAAGGTTGGTAGAACTGATGTTGATCATAAGTTCTAAGAATCACGCCATCTAACATTCGATATGTGAACCCCACGTCATCGTCTGAAATTCAATTGTTTATATCAAGAACCAGTCTGACGAAACAAATGAAGAGTGAGCGCACCAGAGGTTTATTTCATCAATATCAGAGTCATCAACTTTGTCATTTTTAAGATCATATCAGTGTGATAATCAGTAGTAATACTATAAGTACTACAAAATATTAAGGTTGGTTACACATAGATAACTTGTTTCATAATTACAAAGAGTGTCAGTTTAACAGTTGACATAATCCGACCGCGATATGGGAGGATTGGTCTGTTGATGTGACAATGTGAATTGGTTACTATGAAAATGGAAATGATTCTGAATTCCTGATTGGTGGAGTTAGTTCATGTAATCCCATGTATATACGAAACTATACAAGGTAGCTCAACTCAATTGATTGGTTCAAAATATCATACGAAGGAAATAATCACGGTTATATCATCACTGTCATCAAGCATCATAGTCGTATCGAAGTCACCGTCACCGTTATCCATTATTTTTATAATTTCTGTCACTGTTAATTAGCCTCAGTGATATCACTCGATCACTCTCGCGTCTATCTATCATCCATTTATTCGATTCTTAACCTAAAAAAGTACATTTACAGCTAGGTGTCGTGTAGAATGCCGCTCACCCTTTCTTCTACCGCGACCTTCCTCGACTTCCATACGAACTCGCATACTGCAATGACGCATGCCACCCCCATCCCCCCCATGAGGACGACGAAGACACCACCGACGTTGGCCAATCCCAGCTCGTTGGCCGTGCTGCTCGTCTTCGTAGTTTCATCCTTCAGAAAAATAAAAAAAAAGATAAAATACCATGTGGACACCATCAGTGAACAATAATCACCAATACATTATTAGTGTTCACAGTTTTATATGGATAGTACCTAATCAAAGCGCGAATCATGAACAGACTGCAAACAGTGATCGACCTGTGAACAGAGCGATCACCGTCAACAGCTATTGTGAACGGACAGGAATATAAAAAAGTCATGTTATGTGTTCAGTAACTATCAGTATGTTAGGAATTCGATGTGCTCAACACCATCCGTGAACAATAATCATCAATACATCATTAGTGTTCACAGTTTTATGTGGATAGTACCAAATCAAAGCGCGAATCATGAACAGACTGCAAACAGTGATCGACCTGTGAACAGAGCGATCACCGTCAACAGCTATTGTGAACGGACAAGAATATGAAAGTCATGTTATATGTTCAGTAACTATCAGTATGTTAGAAATTCGATGTGCTGAACACCATCCGTGAACAATAATCACCAATACATTATTAGTGTTCACAGTTTTGTGTGTGAATATTCACCATACTGCAGACAGTGATCGAATTGTGAACAGAGCGATCACGGTCAACATCAGTTATTGAAGCATTGTGAACGAACAGGAATATGAAACTGTAAATAGAGTGATCGAGTTACGAACAGTGAACAAAATATAAAAAGTGATTTTATATCATCAGTTATAATTATTAGTTATACTTATAACAGTGACCAAACTGTGAAAACTCAATGAACATAAAGATACCTATGAATATCCAATAATCAGTGTTAATGGTATATCGTGATGAACCATAGAATGAATTGGCAAACATTCAAATGGAAGTAATTGAACTGTGAACAGTTATCATTCAGTGGACAGTGATCAGACTGACTAATTATCGAATTCAGATTTGGCCATAGTTTGTACAATTCCATATTGTACACTGGTGAATGTTTTGTTGAAATATGCATTTTGTGAATCAGTTATCATACTGTGGACAGTAAATTCTCATTCAGACTGTGAACAGTGATTAAACTGTGAGCAGACTGCAGAGTGACCAAACTGTGAAAAATGATTTTATATTCTGTCTGTAGGTTAATCGAGGAGGTGGTACATTCATTTTACTTGGTTCTTTGGGATTTTCTCTCCTCGTTTCTATAAAAATAAAAGTATTCGTATTATTTCAATATATTTGTAGAGGGACAAATCAGATGATTTGCCCCAAAATGTCACTGCGTTTAACAAAAACAATGATGAAATAATACTTTTGAACTTGAATATGGTGAAAAATGCTGAAATAAAAGATGAACTCACCCGACATTTTCCACCACCCCTCTTCTCCTTCCACCACCGAGTTTTCAAAATGTGCAGTTTTCCTTCCTCTTGTAATTTCAAAATGGCGCCACTTATCGCTGTTCTGAACGGAGAATCTGAAAATAATCAATGGTAATTCACTATTCCTACAGTCTATAAACTGTATATTCACGATGTTGCCAAGTTTACATCTGCGGTGTTGCCAACTTATTACTAAATAGTGTCTCCACGCCACTATTTTCGGTGTTTTCAAGTTGATACATGATCGAGGAAATGCCAAGTTCGTACTTGCAGTGTTGCCGAGTGAGTGAGAGCAGTATTGTGAAGACAATACCTACTTGTAGAGTGGCCAAATGGAAATTCAATAGGTTGATATTTTATGCGATATTGCCAAGTTGATATTCGCGGTGTTGCCACGTTGCTACTTGCAGTGTCTCCAAATTGGAACTATAGCAGTGTTTGTCAATAAGCTATGCCTCGGAGTATTGTCAAGTCAATACACGAAGAACTGCCAAGTTGATACTGAACAGTGTTGCCACGGCACTGCTGGCATTACTTTCAGGTTGATACTAGCTGTGCTGCCAAGATAATAATCGTGATATTGCCAACTTGCAGATAATTGTAGTGTTGCCAAGTTATAACTCGCAGTGGTAGGTTGATAGCTGCAGAACATTAGTCTCGTACGATACTACTTGCGGTATTGCCAGAATACTACTTGCGGTGTTGCCATGTTGACACATGCAATGTTATCAAGATTATACTTACAGTGTTGCCAAGTGAACATTTTTTGCGATGTTGCCATTATGATATTTGCAGTGTTGCCAAATTGAGAATAACAATGAATATATCCGATTTCTTTACGAACACGAAAATCGATCACTTACTGGGCGGCATCGCTATCCCGTATCCTTTCGAGTCCAGCATTCCGCCTACTTGCGTCAGCTCACAATTCCTCTCGATGACATACTCGATGGAGGTGGATTCCATGAGGAAGGCGTAGTTGCCTTTGCCCTTGACCACTTGTTCGACGCCCTCCTGGTTGCTGGAAGTGAACACCGACGGTCGCTGGGATTCCATGAAGGCCCACATCCTTTGGTAGGTCGAGAAATTCGAGTCCTTCGATGGAAAACCGAAAAGACTTATCAATAAATCAATCAAGGCGAGAATTGATTTTATTCCAAAAATATGAGACATTGTTGAAGTAGTGATCCCCATTTATTTGGGAAACTTCCAACTGGGAGATCTTGGGAGCGAGACGGTAACTACTGTTTCGGACCACCAGACCTTATCAGTCGCTCTTGATCTGCTGTTGATTAGGACAACTGAAAGACGATTTTTTCGGTTCAAAATCATAATTATGAGATTATTTTGCCAATTACGATCATTGCAAGATTCATTGGGCTTAATTAGTCTAATTGCAGGATATTCTCCTAATTAGGCTGATTGCAAGATATTTGACAATTTAGCAATTATAAGTCTAATTGCAAGACAATTCTGTCAATAAAGCTAATTGCAAGATTTATCTAGCAAATCAGAGCAATATGAAGTGGAACATATTGTTTTATTCGTTGAATATCATAATAACAATAAGATGGGGCTCATCTGGCAGATACATCTAATATATATATTACTCTGTCAATTAGACGTATTGCAAGATTTAACTCGGAATCAAGGTCTGAATACTTCAAGCGTACCCAGATGTAATCTACTAAAACAGTCGAAAATGTTGCCATCATAGACAGATAGACATGTTGCCCTAATCGCAAAAAATAATCTTGTAATTATACTCTCGCACGAATTTTTTTTCAGCTTGTTGTGATTAATGTTGCAATTATTCTAATTGCAAGATTCGTCTGTCAATTGAGCTCTTATTCCAAGATCAATCTGTCAATTGAGCCTCTATTGTAAAATAAATTCTGCAACCAGCTTGATTGTCAAAATAGAAAGGCAGAGGAATATTTTTTCTCGCAATTATGATTTGAAACGACGAAAACAATTCTTTTCTCTCTCTGTAGAATTTCATTCGAAGATGAGACATCAAGAAGTGATTCAACAAATCAAGACTCGATTCGACAAAGATGCAATCACCAGAGTGATTTGTAAAATATGAAATAAGAACTGCGAATTCGTTCAATTCCAACGAAACAAATACTTATTGAAATGACCAAGATGTCAATAATTATTCAAATGAAAACGCCAAGCAAAGGTACCTAACTAAAAAAAAGCTGATGATGATTTCTCCGAAACGAATCGTCGTACGTGAAATCTCTCAACGCTGTTTTGTAGAGCTCAAAAAGTGACAATGAGAAAGTGTCTCTTGTTTTTCTATACCCTTTTGAATAACTTCAGAAAAAAATTAAAACGAAATCGGCAAATTTCGGTATTCGAGCGCATATCTTTGGAACCCCTCGGAATTTTGGAACTTTCTAAATGGCATATTGTTGAGCATGAAAATATGCAACTATTTTCTCATTTAACCATCTTCGTATCTCTTATGGTTTGCGAGATCCCCATGAAAGACATCATTTTCTTGGACACACTGTATACTAGCTGTACTGTATACAAGTGATTATTATTCGTTCAAAATCTTTGAGTCGATCGAATAATTTCCATCATCAATAATTCATTAGCTATAAAATAAAAGCATCGTAATTCCGATGAAAACTGATTCTGATTATTATTTTCGTTTTGGTAGTATTCCGCATCGATCATGAAACCAATTATTCACAAATAATGACACCGTCGAGTTCCATTGGATTTTGTTGCTTTTCGCTTTGTGAGTACCTACTGCTGCTCGCCAGAGGGTTTAATAATTGGAAATATCGAACATTTCCATGTAACCGATTCATAATTATGATATAACGCCGAGAACACACTGCTAACCACAGGCGTGTCAGATACAACTCCAAGAGGATTGCAAACTGCCACTGATGGTTATTACAATTTTAATCGTTTAATTCTGAGTAAACACTTTCAGATTATTTCTTTCACATGTGGAAATCTGGCGTTTTAGCGATTCCAACCAATATCAATGCTCGATTCTGGCCAATCATTCGGTATTATATTGTGCACCAGAATTGACACCGATTCTCTGCAAGCTATTTACCATCTCTGAAAGTTAATGAGACATATTCTAACCTCTCGTCAATACAGTCCGGGGTACCTCAGGGATCGGTTTTAGGACCCATTTTATTCCTACTTTATGTGAACGACCTCGCTACAATCGATATCCAAGGATCATTCATAATGTTTGCAGACGAGACAACAATATTATGGCATGGTAAAAATACTGAGGACTTGAAACAAGTCATATCTCGAGATCTAGTGAAAGTTAAGCAATGGTGTGACTCAAACTCCCTCTGTTTCAATGTAGATAAGACAAAACTCGTGAACTTCAAATTTATTTACGACAATTTGCAACTGGATGGAAATGAGGTTGAAGAAACGGATTGTACTAGATTCCTTGGATTACACATTGACAATAAGTTAAAGTTCAAAGAACATATCACATCCTTGTGTAAAAAGTTGGCTTCTGGGTCATTTGCTGTAAGGATCATCTCCAATGAGCTCGATTTATCTACCGCTAGATTGACTTACTTCGCCTTAGTAGAATCCCATCAACGGTATGGCATTGCGTTTTGGGGATTCTGTAGTCAACAACTTCTGAACCAAGTTTTGTACTACAGAAAAGATCGATCTGGTATTTATGTAGCTGTAGAAGTCTTTTCAGTCAATATCGAATCCTAAAACAGTCATCAGCATCTTTATTCTCGAGGTAGTATGCCTGATTCATAAAAGAAGTGTTGCTAATTTACATGGAGATAGCTAGAGTAGAGTAGAGTAGAGTTTTATTGACTACTTGATGTACATTCATACATTTGTAGCAAGTCCTAAATGATTCCATTTCGGTGAAAAGAATGTAAAAAATGGTAAATTACAATAAAAGACAAAAAATATACAATCAGAGACGAATAATATACAATCAAAAACAAAAACAAAATACACATTTACGTTTCCCTCAAGAGTGGATGTTCGGCAAGTGTGTTCCTTGTATCAAAATTGTGGCCACTAACGTGAGCCAGATATTCTGCAATCGAGTAAAAGCAATTTTTTTCAAAATAATCTTTCATAACTATCTTGAAAAAAAAAACATATTCATAATTTTAATACTGGCAGGAAGAGCATTATATAATCTGAGATCATGAAAATTTTTTTGTGATTTGCTGAGTTTGTAACGTTGAGGTCTAATAAGATCACTGTTGCGTGTATTGTGATTATGCAAATTGGATTGCTTAGGAAGCAGGGGAGCTATTTTGTGAATCTCTACTATACTCGTATGAATATACATTGAAGGTACTGACATCATTTTGTGATTTATGAATGAATCACGACACGAATCTCTGTAACCGATTCCAACAAGAATTCTCAGAGCCTTTTTTTGTAATATGAAAATACATTGGGCATCACTAGAATTTCCCCATAGTAGAATCCCATAAGAAATATGAGATTGAATTAGTGAGCAAAAAACTATTTTCAATGTAGTGAAATTAGTTATAGGTTTAAGTTGTCGAAGTAAAAATAGAGCACTCGATAACTTACTTTTCAAACCTAAAATGTGGCTGGACCAATTTAACCTATTATCCAAGGTGAAACCCAGTAACTTAACAGTTTGGAACTCAGGTAATGGCTGAGCCGTAGATATCACCATGTTTTTCTGATTTATCGTTATTCATCATAAGTTTATTAACACTAAGCCAATAGTTGGCTTTTCCTTGTATTTCGACAGATTGATCAGCAAGAGATGAGAGATTTTTTGAGGAGTAAATGAGGGATGTATCGTCAGCAAATAATACACTGTGACATGGTTTCATATAGTTGTAGAGATCATTAATATAAATCACAAACAACAGCGGACCCAATACCGATTCCTGAGGCACACCCAAGTTAATTGGTTTCAGCTCAGAAAATTCATTGTTATAAAAAACTGCCTGGACAGATAGCTAGGCCTCATAGTCACAACACAAGACAAACCTCTAATATTTACCAACCAATACCAAAGCTGACTTTGACAAAACATTCCAATATTTACGAAGGAAAACTGATTTTCAATCACTTACCAGAGGAACTGAAGTATATGAGGAATGTTGAAAAGTTCAGAAAATCGGTAAAGGATTTACTGCTCGAAAAAGCTTATTACAGCCTACAAGAGTACTATGATGACAAATTGCTGGTACTATCAGTATGATGTTATTGTTTTCATTCAATTCTCAACACGAATAGTGTGTTTTTCCTATTTGATATACGAAAATTCATGATTATTACAAAACATAATTAACTGTCAAGATATCACCACCCTATTATCAATATTTCAGTTGATCGAATTATTCTTCAAACACACTCATTATTAGGGTTGAAATTCTATCAAGCTCATAGAGCACAAATTCACTTAGAAAAATATGTCTGTTCTACCACCCTGAGAGGCACACAATCCAACATTTGAATCGCTGTCGCTCGAAAACTAGTCATAGGATTGAGTTTGAGCTCATCAGAACTTTTGATCAGGATATCACAAACTACAGCATACTATAATTCCATACGATTTGACCGGGACCCAAAAATCCATAAGAGCGGTGCGAGGTCCTTTTCAAGGACTCATTTTATTCATCACAATATATTCATAAGCTGCGGTAAAGTCACCGAACATAAACATAGCATTACAAGAAAAAGAATAGCCTTGACTGAATTTCCTCACCCTGAAGAAGGCGGCCGTGCTGCCGCCTCGCAGCGCCCCGTACTTGATCTTCGTCTGTTTGGCGAGGTCCTCGGCCGTCTCTATGGGCGAGTCCATCCTTTCCACGGTCAGAAAAGCGGCCAAGTTGGCCGTGTACGAGGAGATCATGATGAGGGTGAAGAACCACCACATGCCGGCCACCATGCGAGTCGAGACGGCCCTGCACGAGAAAAAAAAAGAGAGATTTCGAACTTTCGACTTTCATCTCGAAATTTCGACTTTGATCTCAAAATTTCGATTTTTATCTCGAAATTTCCACTTTTAAGTCAAAATTGATATTTTATCTCAAAATCTTTCAAATTTTCGACATTCAAGTCCGACTGTTGAGTCAAAATTGATATTTTATCTCAAAATCTCGACTTTAATCACATACTTTTGACTTTTATCTCGAAATTCTGACTGTTATCTTGGAATTTCAATTTGTATCCCAAAATTTCGACATTCACGTCTGACTGTTGTCAAAATTTTGACTTATATGTCGAAATCTAGACTATTATCACCAAATTTTGACTTTTATCTCGAAATTCTGACTTGAACTCGAAATTTCGACTTTTTATCTCAAAATTGCGACTTTTCTCTCGAAATCTCGACTTTTATCTAGAAATTTCGACTTTTATCACAAAATTTCGAGTTTTATTTCGAAATTCTGACTGTCATCTCGAAATTTTAAATTTTATCCCAAATTTTCGACATTCAAGTCCGATTGTTGAGTCAAAATTTTGAATTTATCACGAATTCTCGTCTCGAAATTTCGACTTTTTTCCCAAAATTTCGACTTTTTGGTTCGACTTTTGAGTCAAAACTTCAACTTTTATCTCGAAATTTTGACTTTTATCCCAAAATATTCACTTTCATCTCGAAATTTTGATTTTATCTCAAAATTTCAACTCTTACGTCAATATTTCGACTTTCAGTCAAACTATAATATCAAAATCTCGACTTTTATCACAAAATTTCGACTTTTATCTCGAAATTCTGACTGTCATCTCGAAATTTCAAATTTTATCCCAAATTTTCGACATTCAAGTCCGACTGTTGTCAAAATTTTGACTTTTATCACGAATTCTCGACATTTGTCTCGAAATTTCGACTTTTTTCTCAAAATTTCGACTTTTTGGTTCGACTTTTGAGTCAATACTTCAACTTTTATCTCGAAATTTTGACTTTTATCCCAAAATTTTTATTTTCTTCTCGAAATTTTGATTTTATCTCAAAATTCCAACTCATACGTCAATATTTCGACTTTCAGTCAAACTATAATATCAAAATCTCGACTGTTATCTCAAAATTCCGACTTTTACCTCGAAATTTTGACTGTTATCTCGAAATTTCAACTTTCATCCCAAAACATCGACATTCAAGTCCGACTGTTGAGTCAAAATTTTGACTTTTATTCCGCAATATTGACTTTTATCTCGAAATTTCGACTTTCATCCCAAAACTTTTACTGTTATCTCGTAATTTTGATGTATTCTCAAAATTTCAACTTTTACCTGGATATTTCGACACTTAAGTTCAACTATAATTTCGAAATTTCGACTGTCATCTCGAAATATCGACTTCTATCTCGAAATTTCTACTTTTATCTCGAAATTTCGACTTGAAAGTTTCATTTTGAAGTCGAAATTTCGACTGTGCTCGTTATTTCAAAATGAAAAGATGAGTTTTTTTCAAAACTATCAATTCCACCCGTGCTACGATCCCTTCAGAAATAATAAAGGTTGTAAATTCTTCACAAACTAATGTACGAACAAGATTCGAACCTACGGCTTTCTCTTGCACTATCAGAACAAGTATTTGGTACGCCCCTCTAGTCACAGTTTCCATTTCCTTGCAGTTGGGGATAACCCATTCAAACCTGGTATCGTTACTAATAATCTCTCACCAATTATGGAATAGAATATGAAAGGTTCTATTTGGAAATCAAAAGTTGATGTCAATTCCAAGAAAACCGGAAGATGAAAAAAAAATCCTAAAATGTGAGAAAGTGATCTCTAGTGAGTATATTCGATGTTCCAAACCCCAGAAATATTGCTAGAAAAACAAAGAAGAGAAGAGACGTATATCATGAGTCTGCTTCACCCAGGTGAATACGATCTAGTAGTGGTAATTTTGATTATACATTATGAAGATGGCTCAATCCCTATACGGCAGTCTAGAAAGCAGCGCAGTGACGTCAGCTGGAATGAGACTGATACAGTTACGCGATGACGTCATGAAACGGGATTATAAATTCAGTAGATTGAGCCAGCCTCTAGATACAGTGTAATATCCATGATCTAACCCAACTGATAGTAGTTTCAATAGGTCGCAATTCAAGCATGCCTTCTCATTGTGCTGTTGAACAATGCACAAAAATGCAATGAGAGACGAAGGAATATGATTTTTTAGGTGAATATTAATCTCACATAGTTTTTATTATGAAATTTTGTCATATCTTACTGGAATTTCTTCTACCACTTCTGCAATACAAGCTAATACTGCTAATGGATTGAAAATGTCTACTTCAGCATGTCAGACCAGTCCTCCCGTTTCATTGCATGAATCCAAAGTTCTTGAATTCTTTCAGAGATTTCACGAGTATTTCTATCAGCTCCTATTGCAGAAGAGATTCCGATGAGAAATCAGAGAAACAACCAAATTTCAAAATGAAAACTATATGTTAGTGACTATAGTAGGTACTTACTTTCAAATCATAATGTACCTACCAACCGGATTCTTTCGTCTCTCGCTGCATTTTTTGTGCATTGTAACAACAGCACAATGTGATGGCATGCGCGTATTGATGAATAGCCGAAAAACACGATTCGTATGCCAAAATAATTGTGAAAAACTATTTCGAATATTTGTAAAAAAAATAAGATAAGTGAGGTTGTGTTTCAATGTTTCAAATGAGCTATTATTCAGTAACTTTCACCGAATATCTCTACACCACTGACCATTTGAGGTAAAGAATCCCGGACTTTTTGTCCAAGGGGAATTTTCGAGAGATATATAACCTACGTGGCGATGCGAAGCCCGGATTAGCTGAAACGTCATAGTCCACAGCGTATTAAAGTTTTTATACGACCTCTAATGCGTGATATATCAAACTTAACGGATTTTTAATTGCATACGACCGCCTCTAATCCCGAATCCAATGTCAGCAAATAATGCCAGTTCACACAGCTTCCTAGATACGAACATGTGACATAGAAGCAATAATGGAATAAGAGCTTATCGATAACTGAAATCTATAAAATTGCGTATAGAAAATGCTGAGCCTCCTCTAGAGTAGAAAACGTATGGTTGGATCTCTTTTGATACATATCAATAGTGGGTCATTGATCTTACTCAACGGGAAGTCTCACAGCTCTCAAGTACAGGATGCTGAATCACATTATAAAAATGTATTGGAGTGTCCACTTTTCCTAGGTCAAAATAAAACATCACAGCAGAAGAAAGGATGGAGAATCATCATATGAAAAATGTGTTAGAGGCTTATTTTCCTCTAAGAGTTATTGAGCAACCTCCAAGAGGAATTGCGACTGTCAAATTTCCTCGAACAATGTATACGTTGATCCTTCTCTGACGGAAGGTTCAGAAATCTCCAAATGTGAAACGAGTTTCTTCTAGAATGTTTCTTATAGGATCAGCTTTTCACGATGATGATAAGTGAGTCATCCACTGAAAAAAGTCAATAAATAGACTCAACATCCTCTGAGAATTTATTTATGAGGCACAGCTTTCTCTTTGAGTGGTAAGTTGAGCCTTGAAACCATTCTCCAAGAGTGATACGTTAAGCCTCTATCGAACATTCAATCGAGAGTTCAGATCAACATCCTCCGAGAATGATATTGTGATCCTTCTTTTAAAACGCCTGGAAGAGGCTTAGCAACCTCTGAAATCACACTCAGCCCTGATACAGAAAAACTACCGATACGGCAATGGCAGGGAAGGGGCTCAGCAACCTCTAAAATCATAGTCAGCCTGAGAATGACAATGTGAACCTCCTCTAAAAACGCCTGGGAGAGGCTCAGCAACCTCTAGAATCACGCATCTATACCTGATACAGCAAAACTAACGACACAGCATATTATAGCTCAACATCATCCGAAAATGATTATGTGAGCCTCCTCTAAAAACGTCTGGAAAAGGCTCAATAACCTCTAGAATCACGCATCTATACCTGATACAGCAAAACTAACGACACAGCATATTATAACTCAACATCATCCGAAAATGATCATGTGAGCCTCCTCTAAAAACGTCTGGAAGAGGCTCACCAACCTCTAGAATCACGCATCTATACCTGATACAGCAAAATTACCGACACGGTAAATAATAGCTCAACATCCTCCGAAAATGAAAATGTGAACTTCTTCTCAAAACATCTGGAAGGGGCTCAGCAACCTCTAGAATCACGCATCTAGACCTGACACAGTAAAACTACCGACACGGTACACCCTCCAAAAATGATAATGCCTCCTCTAAAAACGTCTAGAAGGGGCTCAGCAACCTTTAAAATCGCGCACCTATAAATGATACAGCAAAACTACAAACTCGGCAAGGTATATAGCTCAACATCCTCCGAAAATTATACTTTGCCTTCTGTTAAAAAGCCTGGAAGAGGCTCAACGACGCCTGAAAGAGGCTCAGCAACGCCTGGAAGAGGCTCAGCACCCTCTGAAATCGCACCTAGACCTGACACAGCAAAACTACCGACACGGCAAAGTATAAGTATACAAGGACGACACTTACTTAGGCGCAATGTCGGAGCCTTGCTGCATCAGCGATCCGATGGTGAACCACAAGGAGTTCAACAGGGTGAACTGGTTGTCGAGGGTGACGGGTTCTGCGTAGCACGGGTGAGGGTTTTCCCACTCGTAGGGGCTGAACCTGGACACACAAAATACGGGGGTGCTTAGAAAGAGAAAATGGGGCTTACTTGGGCAGGAAGTCGCATCCTTGCTGCATGAGCGAGCCGATGGCGAACCACATGCAATTGAAGAGGGTGAACTGGTTCTCGAGGTGGTCGGGATTGGGGTTGCAGGGGTGCGGGTTCTGCCACTCATACGGGGTGAACCTGTGGGACGGGGCACTTTGAGTTAGGGGGTGCGATGTGTGCACGTGTTGTGAGGTTTTTTCGTTTATGTGACGCCTTCTACTCATTCTCTAGCGTCTAGCAACACGGTTTCCACTTTGGCTCTGAGATTTACGCATGCGCAAAACGTTCGGTGACCGTATGAATATGTTTTGTACAGTTGTTTTTTCTTGTTGAACTGTGTTCAAAACAATTTTGAATCACGCATTTTCTTGTGTACTACTACTAGTACTGGTGAAAGACGTTTGCATGTCAGCAACTAGTCCCAAATGGGACCTTTTTGCAAGCCCCAAGGTGTTTTTAATGAGTGATGTGGTTAGCTCAAGAGAGCTAACATCCTTTTCAGGCACCGCCCATCAGCTCTTTTTCAGAGTTTTTTCGGCTGTGTTTTGTAGGCTAGTAATGTACTCACTACCATAGGCTGCAGTGCAGCCACTAAGCAGCATTGGCCCGCTCTCACGCTCAGCTGGTAGTTTTCCACACCCACCTACATACACCGTCCTACTTCTTCTCTGATGCTCACAACCACATCATCATCTCTTTCTGCGTGTTCTGTGTAGGCTTTGTTACTAACTCCATGCGCCACTTTAGGAGCAGCACTGTTGATTGGAACGCAACAGCGAATCGTGCAGGACTATCCCCAGCCGATGCTCCGAATCTTTACAATATTGAATTCGTAAATAAAATATTGAAAAAAGTTCCTTGCTCGTGCTGGGAATCGAACCCACAACCTCGCGGTCTTGTGTAAGTTCAAGAGCGTCGCCAGCTGGAAAGCTAGGGGAGGGCACCTCTACGAAAGAGAAAATTCAAGTAGGAAAAGTTCAATAAAAAAAATTGGAAACGGAAAAAATCTACATAGAAAGCCAATTGGAAAATAATCTTCAAGGGTTCTTTGCAAATACACTTTGTTGAGGAAATCGTTCAAGTTTTTGAAAATTTCATGCCTGTGAACACTCATCTTTGCGAGGCCATTGAGTCGAGATATACATAAGCAATCATCGATTTTGACACATTTTTTTTCGACATGATCTGGTTTCTTGAATAATACAAATTACTATGTCAAGCTTGAGAACGGTTCAAAATCAATCTTGATCACGGTTCAACAAGAAAAAAACAGCTCACGTATTTTCGCAACTACTAACGATGGTCAAGAAAGCAGTGTATGTGGCTATGGATTGAAAGGTCCCAGGTTCGAACCCTTATCACCTAATCTTTTTTTAATGATCGATCGAAAGAAATACTGTGGAGGCATTTACTGTTGAGGCCGATAGTGGTTCGCTATTCCAATACCAATGATGTTATTTTTAGGATTGGAATTCTCAAAGCCATAGTGGAAACTGTATTGCTAGACGCCTTTTTCATTCATGGAAAAATTTACAATGATAGTATATAATTCTCAAATACATAAAAAACGGATGTCACATTCTCCATTTCGGAAAGACGGTATGTGGATACTCATCTTTTTTTATAAAGAAGAGTAAAATCACTTTTTCAATTTCTCAGAAAAAAATACATATTCTCTGCATTATACAGGGTGAGTCATAACCAAAAGGACATAGGCTATAAGGGCAGATATGCCTCAATAAAATATTGCTGTAGAAAAAAATACATTGCGCATTTATCAATTGTTATCAAAATCGGCACAGAAGCATAATTTTATACAGGAAATATTATTTTATGTATTATTCTACAGTTTGTTACATCGGGCGCCACGTCGATGATTCCTGATGATGAAATCGACTGATAACTTCTTTTTGACAAAACTTTCTACTGATTTTGATCATAAAATATGACTAAAAATCGTTTTTACGTAATATTGTCCCAATAACTATGACAAACTCAGCAATAATATTAGTGTCATCAGAGTGTGTGTGTGTCTCACGCGGGTATCATATGAACATTCGAATCTGAAAGACCCTGTGATACAATTTCATGAATTCATGAACGATACATATTTTTTATGAGCTTATCAAAATATTCAAGACCTGAAATATGGTCTATAGCGATCGTTTCGATACCTATAGTACCATCCCCAGCGTTGTCACCTCAACTTGACAAGCTCAGTCACCATAATCCGTCTTGAGATTTGTCGAACAACTCTCTACCAAACTTCCTTTTCCAGGAAAGTGTAGTAATTTCAAGATTTCAGGACTATCTCAATAACCTACCTTATATTTATCGCTCTTCCGAAAAATTGCTAATGAAAAAATACAATCAAACTGCTGGTTACATGAGCAGAAACAAAGTTTATCATCATATTATACATTTCAGTATCTTTTTCGACTCACCTGGCTAAAATGAAGAGTAACACTGACACTCCCAAGTAGGCGGTGGCCATGTAGATCCACACGTCCAACGATAGGGGAGATAGGAACGAAAATAAATTGGGAGGCTGTTTGATAGGCTTCCTGTACAATATGCTGATGCCCAAATTCATGAAGGGCATCGTGAAGTCCACAGCCTGTTCCCTTCAGAAGAAAAGCTCGTGAAAAATCCGGTATTTGATGGGAAAATAATGATCTTTGGTAGGAGTCCGAGTTCACGAAAGAAATAAAGTTCTCAGTCATCTTCACAACTTATTGATTGAGCGTTGGTTCGGATGATGAAAGACTGAGAGTTAGGTATATATTCCTCTTCAACATATGAATGAATGTTAATTCATGTTGTGGAGTTGACTGAGGTCTTCTTTGTCTTCCTGAAAAAATATTGTCACGAATGAGTGGAGTTTTTGAGTCCAATTCAAAATTTAAGATGGAATTATCAATGATTCATTGAAGGTCATTCACAACAACAACGCTGTACTGGCACAGGAAATCGTAGTGATTTTAAGTCTGTATGTGGATGTGGCTTTTCAGAAAATACGTCATAGTGATGGTGAAGGAGCCGATTTCCTCTTTCATTTATTTTTTCCAGAAGTGAAATTTGATCTTACGAAAAAAATAAGAAAGATTTATATATTAAACTTTTGAGTGAGAAAAAACTTCAATATTGGAAACTTCCTAATTATAATTATCAGATTATGGGTCGATACGACAAGGACATTAAGATGAAGCGTCTGTATAATAATCTGACGCGATCGAGTATTTCAAGGTCACGATTTTTTTTTCATTTTCAAAAATTGATCATGACTTTTCTTTGCGTTCGAATCGTCAGTCTTTTGAACAGGGGCTGGTTGAGGATTCACTTAACGTCCCTTCTCAATATCTGAGCGCTCAAATAATTTTTTTTTACCTATCCTCTATCCCTTCGTACGGCCACCCCATTAATATTTTTCGGTTATCAGCAACACGTTGGCCGCATACACTATTAATATCTAATGCGCTCCAATATTTCTATGTGACTGTTTTTTTTTACATTTTTGAACACCTGTACAGTACATGCTCTCCCCACCAGTGGAAGGTCATATATCATATAAACTTTTTTTTTCTGTGACGGGAAAAGAATTTGGCATTTCATCTCCGTTGGCAGGTTATAAAATGTCACTTTTCATAAATTACTTTTTTCCCGTGGAAAAAAAGTGAGTACTTTTTTCCCGGATATATATCAAATATATAAACACTGTTGATGGCTTTTGTTGTGCTATAGTTCCGAAAAATTAGTCAATAATACCGTCTCCGAGAAAGAACTGCAAGTCCTTTTATCTTCCATTCGACTTCGCGGTTACGTATATTACTAAACAACCACTAAATTCACAATTTTTTGAAATCGAATCACAAAATTAGACTGACAGAAGTGACATCAGATATTTGATTACTTCAAAAGAATGATAAAGATGCCTACAACGCAGGTGTCCCCTGTAAAAAACTTAAAATTTCACGTCGATAATTTCCAGATTTCAAAATAATGTGATATCTTCTCAATATTGATTCGCCCTTTCTTCTGTCACAGAAAAAAATAGTGTATAATACACGGAAAAAATATTAGATTTTAGCTCACGGTTTTTTATCTCCCTCCGCTACGCGTCGGGAGCTAAAATCTACTACTTTCTTCCCTTGTATAATAAATAACTATTTCATTTTCGCATCTAATCTTCACGATCCTCGAGTAAATCCTCATTTAGCGTCTTTGGCTCCCCTACTATTATTTTCACTACGAGTTTTTCGCATAGTTTTTTTCGCTCTTCATATAGAGCTCACGCTGTTCTATTCCGTTCTGTTCAGTTTCCGTTCGTTTTAGTGGCCTTTCATATACTTTTGTGCAGCGTAAAATGACCACTGGGCATTACGCTTTGTAGCTGACACCACACTAATGCTAAGCCTTCATGAAATGAATTTAGAATTCCCGAGTCTGTGTTGCGATGAGAATTCCACATAATTTTCCCAAAAGCATCAACGGTTTAACAAACCTACAATATATGGGCTCTCGCACATCGCTATACAGGGGGTTTCTGAAATTGGAGCGTTTATTCTTCAAATGGGCAATAGAAGATGAGAAACAAAACAAAATGAAATAATAAATTTCTGCGGAAAAAGAAATTATTCTACAAAGAAAGATTTGTAATGTTAAAGTTGGTCACATAACCTCTTTTTTTATCCCCATGTAAGCACTCTTATTCATAACTTGTCGATTGTACTGATAACCATTATAATTTTAGGACAGGACACTAATTATGTAATTTCTCATAAGGCTGATGATGGACATATATATATCCGAAACATGTACCAACCAATTCTGATGTGTTAATCACATCAAATGTCGTGGAGATGACTTCGTGGTGTATCATTTAGTAGTTATAGTTCAAGTTATATTATAGGGAGATGAAAATTGTGTATATCATGAAGACTGGCTGAAAGAATAACTCGACTTCAGGTAACTGATGAGGATTTGATATCCGAAATGAGTTTATTCCAGTGAAGTCATTTTACCTGTTTGTGAGAGATATAATTAACATATCACTGATACGAAACATTTTTTTGGAACTTCTAAGCTCATCGATTTAGATCAGAGTTCATACAAGTATACTTCTCCTATACATTTAAATGTTCTTTTCAATACTGAACATATTGGTAAGGTATATTTTTATATCATAATACATCATATTATTCTATTCGATTTGAGAGATAATGTCAATTCTCTATTTCAGAGGATTTTTATTTTTCATGCTCTCTTTTTGGATGTTCAACAGATATAATTCAATGTTCGACGTGGTAAATAGCCAGGAAAGTACTTGTTTTTTTTTTTGTTGAATATGCAGAATGATATGATGTATAGCTTTATATGAAGGAGAATGCAAATTCTCTATTTCAGAAGATTTTGTTTTCGAATTCTTATCGTGTGTGTTCAATAGATATAATTCAATGTTAGTCGTGGCATATAGCCAGGAAAGTAGTTGTTTTCTGTTGAATAAACCGAGAAAGAAATGATATTTCCATCACATGGAAAATGCGAATTCTCAAATGTATTTCTTCATATATATTTCCATTTTTTTTTAAATTATATCTGAGAATATTCCTTCTCAATTGGCTATGAATCCCAGTATTTTTTTTGTATTGTTGCGACACTCGATTCCTCACCTGTCGTAGGTTATCGTGAGATCGGCAATGGCCAGATCCGCCTTTTGGTCCAGCAGTTCTCTGATGAGTCCGTCCCACTCCTTGGTATCCCTGTTGAGGGATCCATACCTGCCGTCTGGCACCAGCCTAATGGTGTAGTTGAAGCCCAGCACTCTGGATATTTCGTGGATCAAGTCGACAGCGTAGCCCTCGTACTGAGCATTGCCTGTCAACTTCTCGCTAGCTTCTTTGCGCATCACATAGGGGGCGCTCTAAAATAGCATTAGAGAGTTTGCGAAAGGGGGTTTTACGAAATGCTTTTCGACAAATCATACGGTATAGAAACTGTCATGTTTCTTGCTGTTTGCGCATGAAGGGTTTACTTTAGGCTTAGGTCATCCTCTGACCTAAAAATGTCAATGAGAAACACGAAATAGCTTTGATCTGTCATGACATTTATAAGGGAGGTTCTGATTGGTTCCGCTATTTTAGGAAATAGTGTGAGAAAAACATTTTAGGGCATAGGTACTAATGTCAAAAATATGAGCATAACGAGAGAGAACATATAAAAGAGAGTGTCGACAATAGACCTCTTAATGGCTACCTTTGAAGTGAGTGTAGGTGTGTAATGTCTTATTTCTACTAAAATTTGGTATCCATATCCAATCTGGCAACATTTCACTCGTGGCATCTGAATTTTGGTTATGCTGAAGACTAAAACGTCAATGTCATTCGTGGTCAATTCATTGAATAGCTGAAGATCTGACGAATAACTCCCATGCAGTAATGAATTTGCGCCTTTGAAGAGCCCATCTGATTTTATGTTAGATATTTGATATTCTCATTTCATCATCTACATAATGTGAAACTTATGAGTCCCAAAAGACGGATTCTGATTCAAGGTACCGACGTATAGAGTTTCATGTCTGATTGTTAGATGTTTTGTGTCCAAAGAGAGAGAAACTGTGATAAAGTGACATAGAATGCGTAGAACTAGTGGAGATAACCAAGACGTATGCTCCTCCATATCTGACGTCTGACCAATCAAATTCACTCTAGCATCATTATGAGGAAGTTATACGTATTTTGTGTTCTCATTTCAGAAGTCTGAGTATGAATATCTGTTGCCTGAAGTTTGTCTGGAACAAATAAGCGACATACAACTCGAGGGACGAGCAATTTCAAAGTTTGAAACCTTATAATTGGGTAAGTTGTCTGGCCAAAAAGATACGACAAATTATAATATTCCTGCATCACTATGGGGACATTTCAGCAAACAGTTGTCTGTTTGTTTCAAGGCAGTATTAAAAAAGAACGAGATGATAATGTTACTAAGATGAATTATAAAAATATCAAAAAAGAACCATGATACTTCGACTCAGAATTGTTGACACATTGGATATCTGAACTCCCTATGTCATAAATGATTGATGAAGGCTCTCTTGAGCTGAGATAATTCCTCCAAAAAGGTTTTGAATGATTGATGTTTTCCAAAATGTTGACATCTCTTATTATATTCAAGTTACGCTCTGTTGCAAAAATATTGCAAGAGTTTGAACCCCATGAAGCAACTGAAGCATACATACACCTACATATTGTACAAATCATTGTGTTCAGCCACAAAACTCATCATCAAATAGTAGTATAACTGTCCAAAATACCAGTACTGTGATTGTTAAATGTTTCTGTTGCGCAATTGTTCAAATGAAATTGTATAATTTAGTACAAAACATAAAATAAATATGAGCTGGCGTACTCCAAACATTTTAGGGCAGCAAAGTGATGATCATTCGTATTTTCAATGTAGGTACCTATATGATATGGTAGACAAATAGTGCATTTCCATTATCAAATGCAGCAACACAGGCGATATTTCAGCATTTTCCTTTGCCAGCGAAAAAGCCATCTGTACTCGTCAAAGAGATTAAATGAATAAATGAATACAAATTGTACCAGACTTCCAGACGCAATTGGCCTACTAGATGAATGTTTACAAGGATGCCAGCCAATATAATGCGGTTACCATTCTCCAGCCAGACTTACAGGGTAGAACATGAAAAACTCTCTCTGCAGAAGGTTAGTATCACATTAACAAGAATATGCCGGTTAATTTTCATACTGTGGCTGTTTGTATAATTTCTAGGAAAAAACTCTAATTTCATGCAAAACGGTGCGCGAAAATTGCCAAGAGGGATGAATGAATTTCTGCAGTGCGCAAATATACATTGGGAGTTTTTTCTTACTCGGGGGAAATCATTCTATGGTATATGGTCGTGAATAATTAATGATAACCGATGCGAGGATACCGCAGAAGTAATACACGAATTCGTAATTCAAATCGTATCTTCCCCATCTTTGTGGGCATCAGAATTATTACATATACAATATACATGTCAGCGCCGTCAGATTTGAATTATCATTGTTGGAAAAAAACTGCATCCCTTGCTTTTTTCACTATGTTGGGTTTACGTAAACTGTTTATGTGATGGTCTTGTTGGAGACCACTTGCCTAGTTATCGATAAATATATTATGATATGTTTAGTCTAGAAATAAAAAAACGCACTTAATATTTAGAGGAATATTGAGTTGGGTGAAACGGGGCGTTTTTTTAAATGTTCTGGTTCCCACGAAAATGGACATCCTGTAATATTCAGAAAACATCGTGAGAACCAAGGGAAAAAAGGTAGGAATTGGTATTCTCCTTAAATTTCTGGAGGTTATATGCCTCCGGGAACACCCTTGGCAATGTGTTCCAGAGTCTCGCTGTTCGTTGGATGAACGAGTCTTTGGAAAGAGATGTTCTGCAGGTCTCCAGAGTGACCACGAAGGTGTGCGACGCCTCAACTCGACGGGTTAATCTCGCGGAGACTGCCAAGGGAGGAACAATCGTTCATATTTCAGAAGAGCATGCTTCATGGAGAAATCTATAAAATAGAGACAGATCGACAACTTGTCTACGGTGTCCCAGAGAAGTGAGTGAGTTTGTGAGCGAGGCTTCACCCACGAGACGAATTGACCTTTTTTGGGCGGAATCTAACAGTTTCAGGGTATGTTTGGGTGCTGCACTCCAAATATGGGAACAGTATTCCAGGACAGGTCGGATCTGTGCCTTATAGAAGATAAGCAGCTGACTGGATGTGAAATAGCTCCTCGTGATTTTCCTAAGAAAGGTTATTGCTGATAGTAATCCCAAGCATCGAAATGGTCTTCAAAGGTGGAGAGAAACAGAAAATATGGGTCGAGTTGTTATTAGCTGCAAGGAAGAATAGACACACCGGCTTCGGATTGCTTGTTCTTTTTTCAATTGAATTTTGAATACGTCTATCAAAGTAGCTTGTATGCTTATAGTGATTGGTGCTTTCTTGTATATATTTGTTGTCATGGGATTCAACTGGTCATTTAGGTTTTGATTGATACAACTGAGATGACAACTGCTCGTCAGAGGAGGTGTAATTCAAATACGTCTCTATCTATCACATAGGATCTTGATAACTGGGTATTAGGAAGTTATATATTATTTTTTTATCACATTAAATACTTACCCCATTGAAATGAAATCGATGTATCCATATTTTCATGAGCATAATTATATTTCACAATAAACTACATACATCCATCTGACTGTGAGATTAGAGACAAAGGAGTTGGAGTTGTAGAAATCCCAATGATACGAAAACTCCCTACCTAGAACTCTGATGAGTCGAAGGATGTAAATTTTGCTCATCCTGGAAAAACTTATTCGAGATTGGGTAGCACCGCAACTGTTTTCACAGGGAAATTATATCTGAAACCCTTGCGAAACAACATCTCGAAGTTGCTGAATTAAACTCCACGTACAACTCCGGAACTCCAGGCTCTTCAGGAGTGCTATTATTTCATAAATCCATGGGAAAACTACGTGAACCGAATCTCTTTCTTGTGTTTATCTTATCTTGAGGCGTATAATAGTCCAAAGTTGCGAAAGATTCTTGAGCTCTTTTGATTTGATTGCTGTAGACAACTGTTGAAACGAAACACTTCGAGCCCATAGTTAGTCAAACTTTGCATCTCGATATTTTTCGACTGTATGTACAACTCGACATGACTCAATAATTATTATTGTCATCTTATATAAGAATTCAAGAGTTTGAAATTGTTTAAATGAATATAATAAAGATTGCATATCCCGAGAGCAGCGTATTATACCTTGTTGAGAGATAACAATGATTCTTGACTTTTTATTCAAAACCTCATAGATATTGGAGAATAAATCTGAATTGATTGAGCAAATTAGTGTTCGAAATGAGCCTTCTGAAAATTTAGTCGAACATGGGGAACAAATTCGATGGCATATACGAAATGATTTTCTATCTCTTCCGGATCATATTCCTTCGATGTATGAAATAGTGTTTGGAAATAACTGGATATTGTTTCAAGAATTATCACTTTCAAATGCACAATTCACTTCGTTGAAGATCATGGTATCACTAGTTTTGTGCATTGCCTTGTGATATTGATGATTGTTAGGTTCATTCCATTATTGAATGTATAAAACTATTGAGTAGACGAATGAAGGGAGTTCTAGTACTATTTCATTAGTGAAGGGTATACTCTTAGTGGGTTCAGATGATTCAAGCCATCTGGAAGACATGTGTGAAACTACAAATATATTTCGAATGTATCCCTTTAGCATCTAGCGAAACTGAAAGAATAGTTCACATCGTACTCACCAACAAAGTGGTTACAACGAACGTTTTGTTTTGAATGATCTCCACGATCTGGGTGTAAGCCTCCCCGTATGTCCTGGTGAAATTGACACCCTCCGAAGAGTTCCAGGTACCAATCTTCTTCAGCCCCTCCCTGGTGAGCTCAATGATTTCCAAAACGAAATCACTTCGGAAACCTTGGTGATCGAACTTGATGATACCAGTCAGTCCTCTCATTTCCACCTAAAAAAAAGAAAGTAGAAACCGACCAGGTTGACTTTGGGACAGCACATATGCATTGAATCATGTAGTGTCCCAAAGTTATACCTGGTCGGACTCTACGACCTCACTACACCTGGAGAAGCCGAAAAATATGAAATATACAGGGTGAGTGGACGTGGAAAGATTCCTGTCGACTTCTGGGATGTACGAGGTACAAAATGTTCGGTGGACCTACCACTTTCATGTAATTGATGAGGCTGTATCCGTGCGGCCAGAAATCGACCACGTCACAGCTTAGGGGCTTGATGTCGATTTGCTGGCTGGTGTCCAGGTCATGGAGGGCCTTGGCGAACAAGTGAACAGCGTCGTACATCAGCGCCGTCTCTGCCTGCAGAATCGTTAGGCCATTGTTTTATTTTTCAAACAAAGAATATGAGTTATCGTTATGGATTTTGAAATAATTTGAATAGCCTCTGGTTCAGAAATGATAGTTTCTTGAGTGGATTAGAGTTATCGGATTCATTTCCAACTTGGTATCAAGAGAATTTATATCGGCTTCTGATATAGATATTTCAGGGAGAAGTAGCATAGTAATTCCTCTAGATACAATCGTGAAACTTATAATGAATATTCATCTTCACCGACCTATCTCTTCTTGGTAGAGACAAATAAATTCTATTTTTGAATGATCACGCTTTTATTGATAGCCAAACTAGAGAGAAGTGGAAAATGAAATGATGAAAGTGTGTTGATAAATACACAACATATAATATAGTGATTAAGGAGGTGCTTATATTCTCTATGTTGTGTATTTATCAACACACTTTCAGTATTCCATCTTCTACTTCTCTTCAGTTTGGCTATCTATATTTATTTTCTATTATTCAGTTCGTCTTACTAAAAATGCGTATTCTTTAGTTTTTTATATTTTTTTCTACGACTACTATTGTAACCAACGAATATTGTACACAAAACAATGTCGGTAAGCTTCTCTTTACGCACGTGTTCATTTTTTGTTTTTTTTACTCATTCAACAACCTCATTTACATTACATTCAACAGTATCTAAGTCGAACGAATACCATCGATAGACAATTTTTCCTGGCTTGGTTCTCGAACTAAACGAATCAAGGAAGTTGCCAGAGAGGGTAGGGGAGGAAAAGGAAACTGAAGATGTTTTCCTGAAATTAGGAATGCTCTGAAGATCCTTGTTGCTCTACTTCGTACGATTTGTACAGTCGAAAGGTCATTCAACAGCCTTAGGATAATCAAAACCTGGTTGAGGAGCATCGTAATGAGTGAAATCATCAGGCAACACATTTCCAAAAACGATTTCGTCAACAAAGTGACTAACCAATTTTCAAAGAACCCTAAAAGATAATGTATTATTTGATTCTCTATAATATAGATATTTTGATATTTTGTTAACTTTTTCTTTATTAAAACTTTTTTTAAATTTTTTATTCAGTTCTTTTATGATGCCCACCCCTAGTTTATTGGCTGACGAGGCCCTCAAAACGAATCAACTGCCCTCTCATATTTTTCAGATGAGATGACAAATATTCTGCGAGTACTTGAACATCATGCCACACATTCCCTTCAAATTTGTCGCAATATTCAAATCAGAGTGGAATTATGTGGGACAATATTTCCATGCGGAAATTCAAATCATCTGAATTTTCGAACGCTTATTCACCCATCCCCATTGGCCTTTTGGCTGCATAGATTTTCCCAATTTGATTTGTGATGATCACAGTCCATAACTCCCAGAGATTTATTCGCTGTTGTTTGCATTTGGTTTTCGATACGGTCAGTGAGTATGCTAATTATTTTTTGACCATGCTCGGCCCTGATGGAAAAACAACAATGTCCATTGGCAATCCTGCGGGTTTTTTGTTTGGTTTGTCTAATATTCGAACTTGCTCATATTTAATGACACCGTATAAAAATCCCAATAACGCTTTTATCGGTATTGATAAACAGAAAAACCAAATGGAGCTGGATTATTGTTTCATTCAAATTTCACCATAAGGAATTTTTGGATTCCAGGAATTAACTCTGATATTGTAATGAGCAATCAAACAGATTCTTGTTGCGCTAACACAAAGACCACCTACCTAACTGGTAATTACATATTTTCTACTAGAGATTTCATTAAATTATAATTAAATTCAACGAGCGCAAACATTCATGCAAAAAAGTTAGCAAACCTTGCTTCCATACATTCATTTCGAGTGCTCCCAGCTGTTTTGTTACTAGGTATGCAATTTGCTGCAATTAACCTGAATAAATTCCATACAAAGATTCTGTACGATATGAATCATAGTGCAGTATTATTCGATGTATTAACATACGTTTCTAGCTGACTCAAGAACAGTTAAACTAATCTTGTATGCCAGTTTGCAAATTCAACTGTTGTTTAATGGGAGGATCAATGTATTATATCATTGATCGAGTTGAAAACTCGAAGAACAGCACCTTCAATCATCTTGTCAAATCCCGAATATCTCTACATGAATGATTAAGAAAAGGAATATCAATCATATTGTTGGGAGAACAGGAACACTCAATCAAACACTCATTATATTATATTATTTTGACATTGATAGTTTATATGAGAGTTCCACAAGGAGTTGATACTGAACCAGGAAGAGTTTGTTATCTGAAACGGAGTATCTACGGGTTGAAACAATCACCTATAGGCAATGTAATCATAAAATGATATCAGTACTTCAACAGGTACCTCTTGTACAATCTTCTGCCGATCCGTGTATGTTCGTGTCTGAAGATTATAAACAGATAGTGGCAATCTAGTCCAGCACCTGTTAAGGTATACAAAAGGTACCATAGGGATGAAGCTATTCTACAAGAAAACTGATTCACCTCTGATTCGTATATATTCAGATGCATCATATGCTAGTTCAATATCTGACAGACGATCTATAACTGGATATCAGAAGTACATCGTTCTACGAAACAGGTAGCAGAAGGTGATATTTTCATAATTGATATGTCATCAAACGATTCGTGAAATTTCAGCTTTCATCATGTTTGACATTCACTTGTTTTTAACAACATTGATAAGCTGCTGATAAGCGTTATCCCGATGGGACACCGACAGGAGTTGATTTTACGTATCAAATGTGTCAAAAAAAATGTCACTGTCTCCCCAACTATTTCCTTATGACAAGACAAAGACAGTTCGTGTGAGAGCAGCTGTAGCTCAAATATCCTAATCACAACTCCTGAGAATCCAGGTTTTTACCCGACCAAACTTTCAGACAGCGAGAGCAACTTTCGACATTTCAATTTCCAGAAATACAAATGTCGACGACCTTAGAACCGCCAAGAATTGAAGACTTACCTTCACGAACGTATTATTATCCTGGACGGGCGAGCACAAACAGAAAGGAACAGCATGAGAGAGGATGATAATACAAATTACAAAGTTAATGGCAGTCGCTACAATATCAAACGACATTAAAAGTTCGCAGTCGGTACGCCAGCTTGAATTTATCTCGCTCGTGAACGAATCCTGGATACGTCCCGGATTCTGGATCTGCGTGCATCCAGAGTTCTAATGAAATTCAGCTCGTCCGTCGCCGATGCTCATATTTGAATTTTATAGTTTTAACGAGATACATTCGGAAAAACAGCGCAGGAGTCTCGTTACGAAATGGGGATGAAAACAATTTTCATGGAGTTTTTGTTGTGGACAGGAATTCAAAGGTTTATTAGAATATTATCGGTAAGTGGATGAAGGATAATTAATATAGGTACTTCTTAATTCAAATTACACATTAAATGTGGTGCACCTTTACCCTCTACTCTTCCTGCAAAATCAGCATGATCTCTAAATTACCGAATCGAATATATCTCATATTTCAGACTTCTGGTTATTATATAAGGGGTGTTCTTGTTATGCAAATGAATTCAAACTTTCGTTCAAATTTAATCATAGACGGAGACGAAGGATATTCTATGAATCATCATAATTTAAATAACACACTTGATGACGCTCCCTCATTTCTTTCTGCAGAATCAATGATCTTTGCGTAAGTGGATATCATATCATTATGATACTGCCTTGTCTTCATCCTCTGCATTTTGAACAAGTTCTGTGGATCAGTGGATTGAATGATAACAGATATTTCTAGTAAAAGTTTGATAAAATTGTAATACAAAATCAGTTGTATTACACGTGGTAGCTCTGTGTCCCAGCAATTTTGGGACACCCTGTATAGGACATATACATTGCTGAATCAAATGAATCAAACGAAATTCAATTGAATGAAGCAAATAAAAGTGTCATGTATGCACGACAAAATATAATCTTGAAATGAATAAATCGATATCTTGTTTCAGAGCGAATTTGAATTGAGTAAATATGTCTTGCATGAACTCTGGATCTTATTCAATCAAGCACATCCATGAATTGTTCATGAAGAGATATTGGATAGGATCAAACAATCATTTTGTTTGAATGAAAATAGCAAGATATTGATTCAATCAAATATTTAGTTGATTCAATGTAATATTTGGTTGATTCAATAAGATATTTGGTTGATTCAATGAATTATTTGGTTGATTCAATAAAATATTTGGTTAATTCAATGAAATATTTTGTTGATTCAATGAAATATTTCGTTGATTCAAGAGAATCTGTCTTTCCATATTTCCATTCGACAAATTGTTTTGTTGAACCAAATTCAGTATTAATTCAAGAATTTTCAGAAATTTCACATCAATAATGATTCAAACTAGAAAACTAGTCGACTTAATCTAGCATAGATCTCTAGTCTTTACTTCTCTTCAGCTGAAGCAAAACTATTTCGGATTGCTAATCATCCTAAGTTCGATTTATCCAGCTGATATTTCAAACACGAAGAATCAGGCTTCACGTATATAATGAATTCGAGGCAAGCAGTGACGAGGCGAAATGATCGCCATCTAGATGCGAACATTTAACTTGATGTAGAATGAACAAAATATTTCATTGATATTACATATTTCGTTGCTCTATTCAAGCAAATGATCCGTTCGAAACGAGTTCATTGTTACATCGAAATAAGAAAACTTGTATGATGTTTCAAAGATATATTCTCATCAAAATGATCATTATTTCATCAAATCAACAAAATGTTTATAGTTGAATCAACATCGACATTATTTTGGATCGACATAATTTGTTTTTGAGAGAACCATATATTTTGTTGATGGAATTGATATTATACTGTTGATTCAATTAGACTACACTCTTGATTTGAACAAGCTGCTTCCATGGAAAAATCATGTATCTTGGTTGTATCTAAATTCCGTGCATATCCAAGAGGCATAATATAACATTGAGGCATCTTGATAACGATTACCGATGATGAGGTGTCACAAACAAATTATGTTGTGTGTCTGCTCTGAGCTTTCCAGTTGAATTGCCGTAGATCTCAGGAAGCGAGAGATGTAATGCGATTGACGAGATTCAGTACGAAACACTCACCCTATAGATGGGGGGAGCCTCCCCCTTCCTGTTACGCGTGTCAGTCGTGCCCACATTCCAGTCCCGGAGAATTTTATGCACCTCCGGACCATCGGGGTCGATCAGGCGGAACGCCGTGATATTGGTGCCTCCATATTTGAATTCCTCCAAGTTGACTCCATGCAAGTCCTGCGAGAAAAATGAGACGAAACATTAAGGAATTTTCGGTGAGAATGAGGCCAATAGGGTCTCTTATTGAAATCGATAGTGTTCAGAGCAAGTAAAATGATGTTTCTTGTGTGGAGTACCACAAGGAACAGTCTTGGGGCCACTATCGTTTTCGATGTATATCAACAACCTTCTAATCAGAATCCTACTCTTTTTTGAAAGTATCAATATTCACTTGCGGTTGCTGCTTGGCCGTAAGACTTATTTTCTGATGGAAAGTCAGTAACAACTGGATATTTTGAAAATACTTCAGGACCATTTCGTGTCAACCTGATATGAGAATCTTCCGTCTCAAAATGACTCGTAAGAGATATAAGGAGAAACAATGATAGGTTCTCTCATGTCATTGTTTCGTTGATACTGAACTACCAAAGTTCAAGGAAGTGTTTCAAGGCCTAACCAATAATCAGAATACCAGCTATAAACCTATAAAGGTTTCCAGCCAAACAACTGTACAGAGTGTATAAGATATTCATGAATTAAAATACGAAACATTACTTTTGTAGCTGAAAATTATAAGTGAATTGTTTTGGTTTCCTTCAGGTAATAGGTACGTGATGTCGAAAATCAGTCAAATTCATGATTGGATTTTGTATCATCCTCATCGATGAACTGTCAATTTTGCACAAGTGAATATTGATACTGTGGTGTAAAGGAGTTAAATCCACCTCAATCAAAAATTCTACTCATTGTAAGTATCTGTGTGATGTGATGACATTGCAGAAAAAATCAATGCCTCCAATTTTGAGATGACGTTGCAGCAAATGTTTCAAGATGAGTCGATGTCCACAAATTTCCGGAATCGTTCAGGAACCGATGCATCAGCTGAATCAGCGATTAATCTCAACTATAATTTATAAGACGTCCTATAAAGTAAATCGAACATTTCAGGAGACGACGAGCGGTCCTCTAACGGTCCAATTTCCGTTTCGAATTTTCCTCGAATTTTCCTTCCGTGTTCCTATCATCCCCCATCCAATGAATGGACGGCCGATCAAAAAGGAAATATCGTCTCCGCGAGGTGTGACGATGGCAAAAAGAAAAAGAAAATGAGGAAAATTCTATGCCCGGCTAACGAGGATTCTCACGTAAATGAATGCAATACATCAAGGCGAATTTATGCACAAATCGAGTTGCCTCTACGGCATATTTTACGTTCTGGCTTACGTCGAGTTCATTAGGAAGGCCTTTGAATTTGATGATTTTTATAAGGCTGCGTTAACATAGAGGAAAAGATGAAAATTTCAAACTTGTACCGGTGTTCCTATTAAACTTGGACGAAACATGATCAAATTTGAATAATTCCAAACTTCTGGTTGTCGGAGCTGATTTTCAATCACTCCTGAATGCTCATCGATCGGTAAGATTTTTCACTAGCGACTTGTGACTAGATGAGTGTTAATCGTATTGACATACTAAATGTGCATGAAATGTACTAAAAAATAGTACTAAAAACGGCAACTATGCGCGTAGAACATCAACTTCTCTCACCCCCTCTTTATAAAATCCCCACTTTCAACAACCTGAAGTATGAAACTAAACTCACCAGAGAAGTGATGAGGTAGCTGTGATAGTCACTCATCATGCCGATTTGCTGAGCTTGCTTAAGCACGTCGTATATTCTTGGTGTAGAACAGTCCAGCACGATGTGTGACTCTGCTGAGTTCTTGATCTGCTTCAGCAATGGTCTGAGAAGAAAGTATAACTATGCAGCAATCGGAAAAATACTGTATTTCAGTCATAAATATGTGACATAATATCATTTCAGTCGACCTCTACACAAAAATCTCATTTTACGTTGGGTTGCTATTTTTCAGTAGAACTCCAGATTTGCATATTGATCGACTGATCTACTGAAACATTTCATAATCTACTGAAGAATATTTTGACACATATTCATTATTATAATTTTTTTTTATGTTCTGGTTTCCACGAAAAGGGATATCCTGTAATGTTCAGAGAACATCGTGAGAACCAAGGGAAATGAGGTAGGAATTGGTGTTCTTCTTGAATTTCTGGATATGCCTCGGGAAACACCTCCCTTGGCAATGTGTTCCAGAGCCTCGCTGTTCGTTGGATGAACGAGTCTTTGGAAAGTGATGTTCTGCAGGTCTCCAAAGTGACCACGAAGGGGTGCGAAGCCTCAACTCGACGGGGACTGTCAAGGGAGGAACAATTGTTGATATTTCAGAAGAGCATCGTCCATGGAAATATCTATAAAATAGAGCCAGATCGCCAACTATTCTACGGTGTTCCAGAGAAGTGAGTGAGTTTGTGAAAGAGGCATCACCCACGAGACGAATTGTCCTTTTTTGGACAGAATCCAATAGTTTCAGGGTATGTTTCGGTGTTGTACTCCAAATATGGGAACACTATTCCAGGACAGGTCGGATCTGTGCCTTATAGATCATAAGCAGCTGACTGGAAGTGAAATAGCATGATATTTCGGAACGCTCTTTTTAAATTAATTTCACAAAATAAGAAATGAATTCTTTATAGTTACTGATGATATGTATGAACCAGAAAAGGACAATACTTTATTCCGTGATGTGAATCTAAATGTTTGAGGTCGACGAAAAAATGTAATATAAAATAGACATTGTTCCGTCATTGGTACATGAATAACTATTCTAGAAGTTGAGAGTTCTCACCAATTACAACAAAAAATTTGAACTGAACAAGAAATATTTTTATTCTGATGCCACAGAAAAAAATTTTCGTTCGAAACTACAAAATTTTTGTAAATTCGACAAAATCTGAGTGTCATATATTCACGACAAAATATTTTGTCACCGCAACAAATGTTTTTTGTCAGTTTTCAATTCAAAATTCATTTGATGTAACTCATTAAAGATTCAAATCAACAGGAGGAATTGGTTGAATAAACAAAGGCTATTTTGTTTCTATAATACAATATCTGACCTTACGAACGATTCAGTTGATTGAAATGATAATATCATTTCATTCAAGTGACAAAATTTTCAGTTTTTCAGAGAGTGAATATGTAAAAATGACAATCCTATTCTTCGATCAACTAGATTGTATTTAAAATCGACAAAATATTTTGCTGAATAATATTTAAAAAATCCAGTAACAGAATTTCAAAGCTAAGAGAAATTAGAGATCAATTTCCTGTTGATTCAAGACTATTAGCTTGTATAAGCGTCATAAGAAATTCTAGGACAGCCTAATATAATTATATAAACGGATGTTTTAGGTGTATATGTACACCACAATCGAGACGAGCGTTGGAAGTTTGGAAGAAACGCCACCTGGTGGCAAAAATTCAACTAGATAATCATTCAACCAAATATTTGTTTGATATAATGTATTAGTGGGTTCTGTTCAACAAAGTGAGTTGTTTGAAATAACAACATATTTCTTGATAGTGATGTGTCGAATCAACAAAATATAATGTTGTCATAATCAATTCAATTTTGTCGAATAGAAAAAACCTTTGATTGGTTGCACAATGGAATGACAGTAGACTCAACAAAATATGATGTTGTATTTACTTGAATATTTGTCAAAATCAATTTCATTTTGTCGAATATACAAAATGCATATGATTGACTGAACAATGAGATAAAAGTTGGATCAACAAAATTTGTTTCATATCAACTATAAATGTTGTTGAATGAAATGAAACTTTTGTTCAAGTAAGCAAATATTTCAATCAAATTATTTTGTCTCTTTGAATAGGTTGCTTATTTGGAATGAACATATGTTTTGTTGATTTCACAAAATCTTGTTCAATTTAACTAAATTAAAATGACCAAAATTATTTTGTTGGTGCAACAAAACTTTTTTTTTCCGTGTAGTTTTTTGGAACACCCCGCATATATCAGAGACCACCGGTGGGCATCTATTATTCTAGGATTATTTCGACTAGGGCACGAGAAAAGATTGAGGAGAATGAGCAGCAAACATAAATCAGGACGCCCAACTAGCTATCACGTGGATCACTCTCCGCCCTTCAGAATTTCCAGATTGCCTAAGGGTTGAGAAATGGGAGGTGATCAAGTGGAAAATATGAGCGTAGCGACGCCTGATACGCGCTATTTACAGGGTGTTGCGAAATGCGACCGACATCGGTACACAGGTGATTTGATAACGACTTATGTAGGGCAAAAGATTATCTAGTTGGGGAATCGAAATTTTTATTGCATTAACTCTAGTAGAACTTTTCCGAAATACTAATATGTTGAGAAGATTTTGAAAAATCTTTCAAAATGGCGCCCATGGGCGGGGTTACTTCATGAAAACAGTGTATATATTGTCATAATATTGAAAAGGAATATCCTCAGATATATTATGAGCATGAAAAAATGGATATATATAGATATACAATAAATCAACCTTTTATCGGTATATTCAACAGAAAACAACTACTTTCCTGGCTATATGCCTCGACAAGCATTGAATTATATCTATTGAATACACACACGATAAGAATCTGGAAATAAAATCTTCTATAGTTGAGAATTTGCATTCTCCAGCAGATAAAATATACATGCACATGATAATATATATGAATATTCAACAGGAAACAACTACTTTTGGACATAGAATATCTGTTGAACATCCAGAAAGAGAACATGAAAATGAAAATCCTCTGAAAATGAGAATTAACATTCTCTTTCAAATCGGATGAATATAATATAATTTATAATCATGTAAAAATATACCTATGAAAAATGGAGAACTCATTTTTTTTCAAATTCATCGCTGAAAATAGGCTTGTTTGTTTGAATTTCAAAAAAGTTTACTGAGAATAGTTGTTGCTATTCCAATTTGAACGTTCTATCACAACTTTTAGTTTTCGATATTTTTTTCAAGTTCTAAGAAATGTCTGATATTAAAAATATAACACCCACAAAACGATTTAATTTTAGCAGATTCCTCGTGCTTCTAATTTTCAACCACTAATTATCGACAAAAGTATGATTTTCTTCAGAAAATAATAATCCCTGCATCAAATTTCTGTTATGTTCGATGCAAAGTTACAAATGTACCGTCTATCATTCAGTAGGGAAGCTTATTTAAATTGATTTTTTCAGTTCTAAAGTCGTGCCAAAGTCATCTTCCAAAACATCTTCAAACTAATTCACGTATCTAACCAAAGTTTAGGACAGTTTTGTCGAAGTTTCAATAATTAGAAGAAATCAAAGAATATAAAGAACTGAGAGTTGCAATAGAATGTTCATATTCGAGACTCATTTTCAGAAAAAAAACTTCATATGAACGTATGTCCTTAAAGTCTTAACTTTTGAGATACAGGGTGATTAAGTTTTGAAAAATTTTCAGATTTATGATAATGAATGGGACAATATTGTTTATATCTTCATGAAATTTGGTACACGTATTTCATTCATCAAGGTGCATTTTCTGATGTACAACAATTTTCATTTCCCCTAACAGTGGCACCGGTACGGAAATATTATTGCTTATATTTTATTCAAAAGTGAGCAACGACGGAAAATGTTCGAATTTCGTACAATGCTATGAAAGGCTATTCAATTATGTACAAAAAAACCTCTCTTTGATACTCGATAGAACGCTTCGTTTTAGAGAAAAAACGAAAAAACGAGACCAGACTTGAAATTTTGATGTCTCACTACTCCAATCAGGACATCCATCAGATAACCACAGCAGTATGTAAAATTTTGAAATCTTCACACCGATCCAGTCACATAGCAGACTGAATTTTGCCATCACGAAAATATACAGGGTGGATACAAAAATAATCTATGCATATTTTCAACATTGACACCCTGTTTCTCAAAAGTTGGGATGTTGACCAGATACATTCATCTGTATTTGAGAAAATGTAACTTTCGACATGTAGCCAAAGTCACGTGACTTCAACCGTGTAGGCCGTAGGCTATTTTTCATCTTTTTTGAAGCAAAACTTAACGCCCAAGTCAATTTCAAGATAAATTATTATTGAATGTTTTTTATATGATGCCAACTTCATGAATAACACTGTACATATGTTTACCTGTAATCGGACCCTTCTCCCAACTGTCTCACTGTGATGGGGAACTCGTAGGGGCCGTGCGCCTTCAGCAATTCCTGAAGCCTCACCAGCCCCTCGTTGTTTTCGTAGATAATGGTGAAGGATTTCCAGGCCCATGCCTTCACCAAATCTACATATGCCTGCAACAACCAACAACGAAATGTCATCATCTTCCATTGCATAACAACCTAATCGTATCAAAAATAAAATCGTCACAATTTATTATTGATATATAAATTTCACAGTTTCTAGAGATATTATTGCTGATGCTTTAAAGAAAGCGGGAGCTAAACCAAAATTATTACGCACTCAGGAAGTATAGGAAGTCGATTTGAATTAATACAGTTAACAATAAGGTATATGAATTCGAAGTACTTTTATCGAGTCTTTACGAGATGGATTATAACTATCATGTGTTGGATACACTCAATGAACCCTTTTTTGAACTTTATTCGAGGACACTTCAACTAGACGAAAATGGTATGGATTCTGGTTGAATTCATGACCAAATTCAAGTATAAAAGTAACAGCTGTAATCATTTGGATGACTGTAGCTTAGATGAAGTTCTATGCCCAGAATGTCAGACCCTAAATGTAAGCAATCCTTAGTTATTGTCGTTTACTGTTCCATCTACTATTGTACAATTATTATTATTGCCTGTTCCTCTGCCTGATGACTGTATTTTGATATGAAAATGAATGCATCTACAGTTATATAAAGTCCTAATGTCCACACCGAATATAGTCTGTCCCCTGTCTGATTTTATTTTATCGCTTAGAGTGACTGTGAAGACCCCAGTGGGCCAACTAGAAAAAGGGGTCCTTTATAATAATTCTCATACCTACACCTGGTATCTGTGACTACACTGGCCCCTTCATAAAGCACCCTGGCTTGCTGGTAAATTTCCCCAGTAAATCCCGGAAACTTCAGCTCTTACATCCCACGTCACTTCCTGGTGTTTCCTTCTTGTTGCAGACCAAAGTGTGGACGCTTCACCGAAATTTACGACGCTTAAACAACGTGATAGAGTAGCTCCAAGTAGAATAACTTTCAAAAATTATCATGGGATGTATTCTGGCGAATTTCTTCCTCATTTTTGGAAATAAGGAAACAAGAAAAACACTGGAGTGAAAATATCAAAGAAACCAAAACTTATATGAAAAATTATTTTATGGCTGGAAAAACGAAGCCATGGTCCAAAAAACAACTCAAATACACATGGTTCATCATTTGAAAAAAACTTGTTCCAGATTTAAATAAACGATACTTGTGGATAGAAAACATTTCAGTAATGCCAAATTACCTCTTAAACAGGGTGCCAATGTCAAAACTTTGGTGGACCATTAAATATAAAGGGGAACAACAAACTGTTGAGGCATATTTTGATGTCGTATTACTTTCAACCCCTTGACTCCCAGGGCAACTACCCCTTGAATTTCGAATGGTATCTTCTATATACAGTGTGACCCATTTCTAATGGAAACACCCATGTATCTTACGTAATCGTTGGGTAAGGATCCTGAAATTTGCTGGAGCGAGAGATATACCAAAAATGCACTCTATGACCAAGTGGGGTCATCTTCAGTGATATACACTGCTCGCCAACAGCCATGGAACCACCACAATTTCCGAAAAATGATATTAGGACTCGAAATAGGTAGGTAGAGTGCATTTTTGGTATATCTCTCGCTCCAGCAATATTTCAGGATCCTTACTCAACGATTACGTAAGATACCGGGGGTTGTTTCCATTAGAAGTGGGTCACACTGTATGTTCATGAAATATTTCAGACCTGAAATAAGCTGAAGGTTTATTACCTCCTCCAATATGTACACGACATTTAGGCACACTCTGGTATTTTGTCACTTTATTATCTAATAATGAAGTAAGAAAATGTTGACGTTGAACTAACTGAAAGAGCCCGAATTCCATGTGAACCCCGAAAATATTCTAATCGAGAAAGATGACTTCAGTCGGGAACTTGTCGAGAGGTGCTGAAATATTCATGGCGGCAAGTTTCGCATCTTCCTTACGAATTTCCTTCGAGACAAACGGCCCCGGAACTACCCCAACCCTCCTCCAACTCCGGTTATTGTGTTATTTTCATGCATGGAGAATGCGGATTGCGCCTCTGCCGTTGATCGGCTTCCGGGAAAAAGAAATAAGAAATAAGGGATGATGCGGAAGTAGTGGGGATGATTTGGCACTGATCATGCAATGAGCATTTTTTCGAGAATATATATATAATTTTAGCACATGAAAATAGTTATTTGAAGCGCACTTTCTTGGAAATGGTTCACATTAATAATGAATCATATAGTATGAATAAAAAGTCCGATATCGACAATCTTAGCAACATTTATAATTATCTACTTAAAATTGAACAAATGAACTGTATTCCTAACAATATTTCCAGATTATCAATAACAAATCCTCAATAATGAGTTGGCTCACCACCCAATTATCAATTCAGATTTCCCACCATCCGTACCTTTTCGTAATCGATATCGAAATCGATTCGGCTCTTTCCGTATTATTTGTATCATCTGTGGCCGTTTGTTAGCTTCCATCTTGTTGAGATATCGAAGTCGAGTATGAAAAAGCACCGGTGGTTTACTGTTTTTTAAATTGTTTTTTACGTTTTACAAATCCTAATGTCTTCCAGTTTGTGTAACAAATTCAGCAAATGAATCGTCTGTTCTTTGATTGTTCCAACTTTAAACCAATCTCATGTTAAGTAAGTAGGTACTTAGTTTCATATGAGTTTGATGTTGTTTTTTATGCATACCATTTTTCTTATAGATTTCTTGAAAAAGGAAATAAACATTTCCGAAAGCTCGGCTACATAACGAAGAGTTCACTTATTTGATGCCTAAAATTTTGACTGCAACCCTATGAAGAATTGAACCACAGTGTTTGTTTCTAAATCACTAGTATTTTACCTCAACTAGTCAGTCATAGACTACCCTTCTCTTAAACCATTCCAGATATGGGGTTTTTCAACAACATTTACCAACTATATATATATATACAGGGTGGGTCACGGTGGATGGCCTATCAGAAGTATCTGGAGAACGAAAAATCAGAACATTCTGAAAATTGGGATGCCTTGATAATTGAACATTCTCTATTCGTCTAAAATGTTTTCATCGATACAGTGTTGCCACTTCTATCAAAAACAACTAGCAACTTTGTTATTTCAAATGAAACACCCTGTATTTTATGGCATCTTAAGATTTTTCCTGAGGCGATGATTTCATCGATGTATCATACTTGGGGTCAAGCAGAAATGATTACAGAGATATATTTTTCAATTTTAGGATTTTTTTGTGTCGAAACTATTTATTATTGATCGAAACGGCGTACACGTCCTTATTCTAACTTTCGATTCACTGTCTACTGGGATTTGATTGGAAAAAATCAGGGTGCTTCATGATTCAGAATTCTGTTCACCCTGTATCTGTTCCAATTAAATGTCAGTAGATAGTGGATCGAAAGTTAAGATAGGGACATGTAAACCGTTTTGATCGATAATGAATAGTTTCGACACAAAAAAATCCTAAAGTTGAAAAATCTCGATTTTTAACCCCCAAGTGTGATGTATTGATGAAAACAGCTCTTCAGGAAGAATCTAAAACTACAATATAGGGTGTTCTATTTGAAAAAATCAAGTAGTACTTTGTAGATCGTTTGTTCCGAGCACCCTGTATTTTCTGATGCAACGGGAAAACAATTTCTCATTTTAGATTATTTTTCAAATTTTTAAATCGGTTCAAAAACAAGTGAGCTAGAGGGGGGGACATTTATGGTGGATCACCCTGTATATTGAAATAATATTCATATTTTTATTCAATTGAAATGAGGAGAGAAAATCTCAAAAAATCTGGAATAATTAAAAATTTTTTCATTAAGTGTGGTCGACCGACTTGGAGTCTTTTCTTTCATTTATGAATATTCATATCAGATTGTTTTATTAGGATCAAAAGTGACACTTTGACAAGCTTATACAACTATTTTCTATTTATAAGAGTATTTTTGGTGCAAGAGCAAGAGACTGCCGTGTCTCTGGCTGTAAAAATCTGAATTTAAAATTTTGGCGGAGGGGCATGTTGATATTTTGGTGGCGGAACCCCATTCACCATTTTATTGCTGAAAAAAAAAATCTTCATCAGGATAATGGAACAAAACTATTGAATTATGCTATCGTCATCGGATCAATGTACAATGTTTCATACATACAAACATACATAACAACCTACAATAGGCGTGTTAATGAAAAAACCCAAGACCTATAGGTACCTTCTCTCGCTATGTTCTCTAGGTAAGCACGATAATCCACGAATGTACCCTTCTGTGCGGTCCAATGAAAGACTTGTTGGACTTTTCGTCGAAATTTTGTTGAATCTGAGCATAAATTCAGTATTTTGATTCTACAAGACCTACTCCCCCATAATGATCGGGTTACGATTTTCTCTTAAATCAACCTGTAGGAAAAGCAAACCGGAATAAACGGTGTGGATTACGCAGGATACTATCATGATAATCCCTTTTATCCTTCGAATTCTATCCCACAATCTGCGGACCTTCCATTTGGCCAGAGTAAACAATAGTCGCGGCAAACCAAACTTCCACCAAGTTTCGTTTTAATTGATACAAAGTCCATATTTATCGCCGCCGACTTCTCAACTCTGATAAAATATGGAAGGGTATTTCCAGGGACTTGGAAAACCACCATTACCATGACTAATGTCCAACTATAGGAACCCCCCCTTCGGTATACAAGGTGCGTTGTTCAAAATCGTTGAGTTTCAGACGCCATTTGACGATACGTCGAAAAAATGGTGATGTCAGTTTTTATGCTATTTCGTTATTGGTCAGATAATCTTCCACTTCCACTCATGATGCAAGGTTGTCGAGTCACCAAACAGTCAGTTTTTATGCTATTTCGTTATTGGTCAGATAATCTTCCACTTCCACTCATGATGCAAGGTTGTCGAGTCACCAAACAGTCAGTTTTTATGCTATTTCGTTATTGGTCAGATAATCTTCCACTTCCACTCATGAAGCAAGGTTGTCAAGTCTCCAATTATAATCAAGTTATCGAATAATGTTTGATTCCTGTCGTTGAATAAAACATAA